TAGATGAAATGAACGATAGAATAACGACCACCATCCTAGAATGTGCATCAGAAGTCGCACCGGCCAGTAAAATGAAGGACTCAAAGCTCTCAACAGAAACGAGGATTCTCATGAAGAAAAGACGGATGATGAAGAAAACGGAGGTAAACAACAACAGGGACATCAGAAACAACATCGAATATGCAGAACTGGATAAGACCATCAAGAAGAAGGCAAGGGAAGACATCAGGAAGCAGAACATGAAGAAGATAGCAGAGACCATCGAAAATGGAAAGAGCATGAAAAGAGCAAAGAGATCCTTTCAACTAGGGCAGGATAGAATGCTGACTCTTCTAGACAAAGATGAAAATGAGCTCACCACACAAGACCAGATATTAGAACGAGTAGAAGAATTCTATGGAGAGTTGTATGACAGCAACAAGGGAATAGAAATCTCAACAAAGGCATGCGATCTACCAGACATAACAGCTTGGGAAGTAGAGTCAGCAGTCCAGAAAATGAAGAACGGAAAGGCTGCAGGAAATGACAACATCAAAGCAGAAATGGTAAAAGCAGGAGGAGATATCCTATCTCAGGAATTAGCCAGGCTCTTCACAAAGTGCCTACATCTGAAGGAAATTCCTGTAGCATGGAAGAACGCCAACATGATCATAATGTTCTTTTAATTTTGCAGGTTTCAAATTATATTGCTAGATAATGGGTGTTACTAACACCATATTTACAAATTCTATGGGTGCTATCTGTGCTTTAATGGCTGTAGACAGATATTTGGCTTTGGTCAGGCCATACTTTTATGCTGCAAAGATCACGCCAAGAGTGGCAAGAGTATCCGTCCTTGTATGCACCTTCACGATGTTCTTAGTCAGCTTAGGCCCCGTGTTTGGTTGGAGCAGTTATTACATCTCAGAAGGCATCAGCTGCCTCTACACCTTGGTATTCAGCAACACACACTGGGTGACATTTCTTACTTCGCTCTGTACATGATCTTGAATGCAGCGTTGGTTGGAACCATGATTATTGCCGTGATCAAAGAACTAATTAAGATGAAACGCACTGTGGCGCCCACAGAACAGCAGAAGAGAGAGGTTTTACATGCAATACATGTGTTTACTGCGTTCTGCCTACAGCGTTTTCGAGGATGTTTCCTTTTTAAACTTATTGAACATCAACTGAAGCCTTTCAGTTACGTGCTTGTTAATAGCAGTAAAACTCGTTCAATGCTAATCGAACTGCATAACTCCGCACAAATAAACTGACATCTATAAAACATCAAAAACACTGAAGTACTACAAATCTGGCTGTTTAAGTTTCTACAAGAAAGGAATAAATCAGACACCGGAACAAGAAATATAGGTATTAATAAATTATTATTTATTATTATTATTTCTGTAATGGTGCGTAGATTATCATGACCTTGTACAATATAATAATATAACAATATAATTGGTGCATTGCCATTTCTCTAGTTGGTAATTGTGTTGCTAGTTTGTGACTGAACAAATATATATCTTTATTATGAATTTATATAAGGAACAGATGTACTGATTACTAATAAAATATTCAAATTAAGCGGTGAGATATAACATCTTGGTGTGATTATAAATTAACCATAAATACAAATCGTGAAACATGGCCACAATGATATGTTTCACAATATGAGGTGATTCAAATTTACAAGGAATGGAGGAAGAACTACAATTCTACAATTATATAAAGAAATAGATAAGTAAATAACACAGCTACACATACTTAAATATTATAACCATGTTTAGTGAGAGCACTACTTCATTGACGAAGTTATGATAATCGGTGCCCTGTATTTTTTTTTCCAGCTTAAACAGGAAAAAGCATTTGCACATTTTTATGGTGTCATCGCCGCTGCCTTTATAGTTTGCTGGGTGCCGTTTATAGTTTCTTTTGATATCATCTTTCAAGTATACAGTAACATAAAAATGACCACAACCTTGCTTTATCAATACAAACAATATAACAGATGTTGTTTGATGGAAGAGGCTGATATAGCTACATCGGAGAATAGGGAAATCTCTTGATTTAAGCGATATATTGTAACGACGACGACTTTCTGGAATCTTCAATCATTTATTCACCAATCACTTTTCATACAGTTTTTAAGTATATATTCCCTTATTCTCCGTACTGATCGCGCGAGTAATTATGTTCTTTTCATTGTTTATGGCGTAATTTCCAGAAAATCATGTTGTTGCGCATAGTCGCTGGGATTGAAATAGTTCATTGGCACACGCACACATTTTTTTACCATAGAACGTAGGAAGCCATTTGACTTGTGGTTTTATTCGTAATTTTATTTGTGTTTTATTCGTGGTGGCCTAAAGAAAAATAAAGAGAACACAATAAACCATTTTAATATAAAGATAAATTAATAAATTTAACAATTACACTCATAAAGAAATGATTACATAAATAACTACATAAATTTAAGTTGTGCTTATCCAAATTATCATGAAAAAATATGAATACCTACTCATGATCAACAGTAACCTATCCCATGGCTACCTCAAAGGCTAGTCGTCTCGGTCACTCTGTCTAGAGCACGGCTTCTCTGGCCCCGTATCTCGAAAGCATCGCGTATTGCGAATAGCGATATCACATAGAGGCTATGTACAATGTGTTTAATATGGGGCGAGTATGGGCCAGTTATGGAATCGAGACGCTTGCGCACGGTCGCAATGCGCGATGCTTTCGAGATACGGGACACTGGACGACTAGCTAAAACACGCGACATCTGACGGGATATATAGATAAATACAGTGACGTATTCAACTTATTGGCTAATGGAGCCCATGCTCTCTATCACATGATCTGTGGATAACTTATCAAGACAACTATAAGCATGTGATGCAAGGACGCACGTATCGCCGCGCGTGCAACAATAGAACATTCCCTTATTAGGCCATGTCTAAGAGCATTGTTTTCAACTTAATTTATCAGAAATATTATTTGCATTACTCATACTTGAATCATACCCAAAACTAAGTATCAAGTGATAAACAGTTCATTGAAATTAAAATCTATTGTGAAATTAACCAATCACATAGGCTTCGACCTTTTTCTTCTTTTTCTGACACTAAAAACATGTTCTACACTTTTTGACTCTTGGTGAAATTTAATTTACACTCAATATCACTTTAATTTTTCATCTATTTGATTTCCCTTTTATTACTAATTGTAATTAGTGTAAGCGTAAGTCATTAACTTTACAACTTACACCTTTTCTTCAAAAGAATTTGTCCTCGAATTCTAAATCTTTACAACATACACTCTCAAATACCAGAGTCAGAGTCAGAAGTTTATTGACTATCGCCCTACATCCGGGCATGATCAAATACAAATACAAGAAGTAATCCGCAGAGTGATTACCATATACAGTTTGATATACATTATATAATGTCTAGACTAAAGCAGGGAAAGTACATGTACTACTCAATAAAGATCAATATAGGGATAATTAAAAAAAAAAAAAAAAACTGATTCAACTAGAATAGGCTACACTAAACCTTATATTAAACTAACTATTATTTAGGGGGATATGAAAACTGCATCATCAGTTAATCTAGGTTTTATTCAGCATGGATGCAATTTTCATATCCCTAGCTTTAAAACAATCATAAAGAAAATTAGTTGTGCATTTTGCAATATCAAAATCATTACATTGCAGTACAGTAATAAAAAGGTCACTGATGGACTCAGGGGCTGCACTGCCCAGTATATCTTTAACCTGGTTAAGGAATATGGCTCTTAGTGGAGCATAAGAGGGGCATATCATCATAAAATGGAACTCATCTTCAACTGACCCCATGTTGCACACCGTGCATAGCCTTTTCTCTATGGGTATTTTAGGATTCATGTGTCTCCCCTTTTCAATTGCCAAATTGTGGGCACCAAATAACATAAAATATATTTAGTCAAAGTTAGCATATTACCAAATAACATAAAATTCTCGAATCATTTAATCATAAACTCGTCATATTATCTTAGTGAAGTAAATGTTCAGTGTATGCACAAATAGGACACTATGTCATATCATTTATTGTAAGAACACAATTAGCCTCAGTTCTTATTAATTTAAGAATACATCATCAAAATCTATTACAGGATAAATCTTTATCCTTAGACCCCATTTCCATAGATTTTAGATCGATCTATCCCTGTTGGGAGTCTCAATAGATTACTGTCAGCTTAGCCGGCTTAAGCCTCTGTCCTGCCTACTGAAAGCTGTGAGGGGGTAATTAACAATGGTGCGCGCTCGGCTGACTGCAATTTAGCATGAACCCCCAGGGAGTTAGGTCAATCTAAATCTTAATCCCTGGATCGATCTAAATCTCTGGGAATACATTCTTAGTCAGTAGTGATTCATTATAATATTATAACGGCAATATTTAAATGTCGTAGTAGTAATATGCTAACTTTGACTAAGTCAGTAATATTCCATGCATAATATATTGCTTGAATAATACATTTACCAATACATGATGGTATTTGACGCAACATATTAACTATGTAATCTTCTGATATTATCATATAATGAGCAGAACCAGTTAACTTCACAAAGTCCAACTGCTCATCTATAGAATCAAACTTTCCACAAAACATCAGCAAAATTGATTCGTTTATCAATTCAGAAGATAACCTTATCTGAAAATTCGTTTCTCTTTTTTGTATAAAATACAATTCATTTATATGTATTGAATTTTTAGGTAAATTTTCAAAAAGTTTAAATGACAAACTGACAATTCTGTCATCTATGTAAATGTTATATAAAAATTCCTCAGAATCTGAAAAAAAATAGAACACATTTTATTTCATTCTAAATCTAAATACTAATATTAAATACTTAACAATGGAAATGAAATAAAATATACTAATTATAATGATTATATTTTACATAATATATTATAGCCAACTAAAATATGTTATGATTGAAATAAAATTGTGAATAATTTTCAGTAATAAGTATTATAATATTACATGATAATAGTTATCATCAAGATTAAAACTTGAAATAACTTTGTGCATGTCGCAAAGTCATTAACATGATAATAATAAATATATCAGTCTTTAAAATATCAAATTAACAATCAAGAAAATTAACAATCAAGAAAATTCAATCTTACAACAAAGTCCCAAAGTCATTAACATGATAATAATAATAATAAACTTTTTGGTGATGATCTACATGTGTTCAGCAAAGTGTTCATGTAAGTCTTAGTACTTTATATCTGGTGGCGAACCCAAAATAGTGAACGAGTTTCCTAGTCTAATACCTCTAGCTGGTTATCTGCTGTTTGCATTCAATCTCAAAATAAATCTCTAAATAAAACCAACGCTGCAAATTCCATTTTTAAAAGCACTGATATATCAGATTAGCATAGTCATATCTGTTACTGGTGGAAAAGGGCCTCCTGTGCTGAAGCTGCATGCACTAGTGGGCTTGATTTGGTCTTTAAGTGCAATTTAAGAACACAAATAGTCTTACATGATCTTAAAACATGAGTAAGACCATTTCTAGTCTAACAGCCAATTAAGTTGTCTCCCCTTACACATTCTCCTATTGTGAGCAGAGGTGTCCTCTATTGGGAGGGGAGGTATCCCCCATTGTGAGGGGAGGAAACTGCTTGAGCACTTAAGTAGATGTTAGATCATTTTTGATCTTAAAAGCAGATTCAGTCCATTTTAAGACTACTGCTGTAATGATTAAGATCGTGTAAGATCACTTGTGAACTTAAATTGCACTTTAAGACCAAATCCAGCCCACTAGTGATGAGAAGTGCTGAGAGCTTCCTCTGACTGTTGATATTTCGAAACACCCTTTTGCAAAGAATCCAGTTTTTTCTTAAGTCTATCATGCTCGTCTTGGATAGAAGATAACCGTCTCTTGTATTGATCCATCACCTGGGTAAATAAAAAATAATAATCAATGATATTAATTTGATTAAAAACAATATCTGGATTGACAATTCGTAGATCTGAGAGGCAATAACGCCTCTGGTTAATTGTACATGTACCACCAGCTGGAGTAAGTGCATTTGCATGGAAAACTAAAAAAAAGGGACACCACCTCCAGTGTTGTACTTGGAAAGCTCTACAGAATGAAGTTAACAAGAGTTCTCAATATTTTTGTTGAAAATTACCATTTAAAACAAAATCATGGGGAGAAGTCAAAGTTTAAATCCAACTTTGTGAAGTGATGTTCATGGCGAAAAGTAGGTCAAAGGTCAATTTCCAGATCACAGTTAGATTGCCAGTATATATCTTTCTATTCAAATTCAATAGTAACTATCGGCGTATCTCTGCCAGTTTTAGACATATACCGAAACCTTGCAAAGTCCATGATAAAAGGTAGGTCAGAGATCAATTTCAAGGTCACAGTAGATTGCCAATATATGACTTCCCATTGAAGTTCAATAGTAACTATGGGCCTATCTCTGCTACCCTAGGTTCTAGATTCCGGTATTGCCAGCTCGAACTTGATTTCATATATAACCCATATCGCAATACCAGTACTAGTGAAAGTGACTCCAAGGTATATTAAATATTAAACAAACTAACTTTCACATTGCTCTGACACTCAGGGTAATCTCTGCCTGTTTTGGAGACATAAGCGTACATGCTGGTGGTACTGATAAAGATTTAAAAAGAAATTTTAAAGTTTTTTCAAACTTTTGTCAAAGCTTATCTTATAACTTGCCAAACAAAGTAAAAAATTTCTTAGTTTCTTCTACATACCATGGGTTCTGACAAGTTGATGGTTTCATGTATTTATTGATTTTTTTGACTATCAAAAGCTTGTGTAATAAATTCATATCTCTTTATGTTATTGTGTTAAAGGGATAACAACTGTTCATTTTCCTGGGGTAAACGACAATTTTACCATATTTACCAATGGTTAACGAATCCATTCCCACATTCAAAGTTAGTCCCTGTTTTTAGAAAAGTTTGGTTTTTTTGTAATATTCTCTTAAGAGATTATTACAGAATGTATCCATCTATGGAAGTCATGTGATGAGATGGCAAGCACAACATCCAGTGGGGGAGGGGGGGGAGAGATATCAAATCCAGGAATTTTTAAAGCACAAAAACAACATCATTTAACTTTTTCCTGTGTTCAATTGTAAATTTCTCCTACTCATAAAATTATTACTAATTCATTATTTTTCAAATTTGGAAAAATGAAATAAAATACAAAAGACAGAAAGACAATGAATTTGTTATGTTCTGATTCATGTGTGGGTATTTCTACCTCTTCAAACACATGCATCCCCAATCCTACTCCTACACATCCTGCAGCAGTTGCACTAAGTCCAATCTTCTGATCCTTTGTTAGCTTGTCAGACTTGGCCCATAAACCTACAGCAGCTACTGCACCTGTGAAGACAGCAAATATATGATGCATTTCAACAACAACCTATAGCTAGTAGTAGTAATGACTCACTATGACAAAAAATTGAATTGACTACATGCTATAAAAGTATAGCATGTTATTACAATACATATTAAACAAGGCAGCAAAGCTGTCAAATGTACAGACAAAAACAGAAAATAAAAATGCAGAAAATGGGTCATTTTGTCAATTTTGATGCAATAATAAATAATGCTTATAATAGCACTGTCAGTCAACACTGAATTCTAATCATGCACAACAGGTAACATGGTCAATAACAGAAGCAGATCCAGAGATATTTTCTGACAGTATTCCAAATTATCTTTGTTGATCTATCCTCCATTTCTGATGGTCTTCCAACAGAAAAAAATAGTTACCCGTCAATGTAAACTTTAAAATCTGACCGTCATCTGGAAGACCCAAAAGACGGTCTCAATCTGCCCCTGCAATAAAAAACTGAGGTAAACAATGCCCGTTACCTTTACAAGTACTATCTTAATCATCCATCTAACTTGAACTTCCTTTACCTCTTAATTAGAGGGTTAAATGGCATTCAATTCTCCTGTAGCGAGTATCTTTCTGGCGATATTTATCTCAGGTAAAAATCTACCTGTGCGTTAGTTTCAAAGAGCAGCTCCCGCAGACCTGGGGGTACTAAATAAAATCTGAACACCAGGTTTATCGAGGAGCTAGAGAAACAAAGGAATAATTTTTCCTGCACAGTTTCATAGGAATTTTTACATGGACTTGATCCAGCTCCAAACTAACAGGGTGACATGAGCAATTTTCACAAACAAATACAAACAAAGCAGCAAAGCTGTCAAATGTACAGACAAAAAACAGAAAATAAAGATGCAAAATAGGTCATTTTGTCAATTTTGATGCAATAATAAATAATGCTTATAATAAATAATAATAAATGATAACCCAATTGACCTGGCTTTCTAATTTGAACTGCATGCCAATCCTAAAAATCATACTCATAAGTTAAATATAATAATAAATAACACAGTTTTCTTTTCATAATGTTTGCAGTAGCAGTGCAAAAAGATTATTGTCAATTTTGATGTAACATTACATAATAAATTATAGAATAATTATCACCAATTTTTGATTATTGACTATAAATAGCATGAACATGTAGAAAATTTGATTACCATCCGGCTTCATGTCCATGGGAGCTCCGAGTNCCTCCTCAGCTTGACCTGTCCTCCTATCTCAGAGACGCCGTCCTGTGGATGAGAGTCCTCACCACCCAATGGTTGTTTTGTGGGGAATTGGCTATGCTGCCTGACCTCCCTTTTGAAATAACGTGCACGTGCATTTTACAATAGATCACAGAAAAAAGACCAGAAAAAATTATTGAATATGTTACAATGAAAATATCTTGATGTATTTATTAAACGATGAGTAATATTTTGAGAAAGACCAATACGGATAATGGTAATGTGAAATAACAATGTAATTAAAAAAGAGAAAGGAGAAAGGAAGCAAGAAAGTAACGATACACAAAGAAGGAAATAAAGAAAGACAGAAAGAAAGTAAAAAAAAAAAAAAAAAAAACGTCAGGTTAACATAGAGGATCCGCACACCGCGTGCTCTCCAGTCAAAGAAGACCCAGATGTGAATACACTCACGGTGGATAGGGTTTGCCATCCGGCGACGTGGCTTGGTTTGTTGAGAACCCGGTCACTACCGCCGACCCGCCGAGAGTTGTTCTGAATAAAGCACCGTCTGGGTTTGCGGGGAAATTTTCTTTTTGTCCAACCACAGCCGTCAGCCCCAACAGGCCAAGCACTAAAATGCTTGCCAGAAACTTCCCCATTTTTTTTTTTCTGAAAGATAAGAACAATTAATAAAACAAAATGAATCTGCTCGCAGTGGGTAAGGTTTATTGTTGACATCTTAGGATTTATTCAAAACCCGCTCACTATTGCCGATCTACCCTCATAATGTACACTGCATACCACGTAGTCTGATTTTGCAAGGGGCTTCGTCATATTGGACCTTACTATGGTCCAGCAATACCAGACATGCTGGAGACTAACGACGATTTGCCGATGAGCAAAATCAATTAAGAAAAATCAATAAAGATAAAAAAAATGCCGCCAAAGGAAATGTTCATGTTCGACTGCGATCTATTTTAAAATTTTAAGTTATAAACCTTTACGCATTCAAGTGTGCACATGGTCAATCCGGCTTCTATCTATGTATAATAACCTACATGCAGTTTTTGCTAATATCAACAAACATCAAGCAACCAATCAAAACAAGCAGAAATTACGTGTGTCATTAAAGAATCTAATAGACGACGGCCATCTTGAACTCCAATTAAAGTACTAAACCGTTTTGCATTACGCACCGCAGACTATTTAAGAAGTAAAAAATGAAATAACAATACCTTTGCTTAAGGGTCGCAGCGCTCCAAACTCACAGAAGAAATTCTGTTTATTGGAATTTTTGAAAGGGTCGTATTTATAGAATTCGTCAAGGAAATAAAAGAGAAAAGTGTCGATTATAAATTAAAATGAGTCATTATTTAGCGATCATTTACAAGATATGGCAAAAACAACATGATTTATATATGCTTTGGCCTTGATTCTTCTGACAAAAACAAATCTAAAATGAATGAACAAATCGATAAAAAATATGACATGAAAATAAGAAAATAAATTGAATATTTTCTATCGTGCACTTGAAAAAGCCAATTTCATTTAGTTTCTTTGATTAATATGCATCTGTCTATTACTGAACATAAGACATCAATTTTTTGAGATCTTCAGAGAAGCTAACCAAAATTTCATTAATCGTTTTGATTGGATAGACAGGGTGATATTGACGACGGACACGTGTCGAAAAAGCGATGAAATTTCGTTTCATTATTTCTACTGATTTTTGAATAACACTTTTGTTTTTAGACATCTTAACATCTTTGAGTTCCTGAGACGTCCTGTGCCACTTCCTGTTTATTTATTCTCAGGATAATGTTTTCAAATAATAAGAACGTTTAAATCGATTCAATTTGATCTGTAATTTGTAAATGCATTCAAGGGGGAAAAAGTCTGATAGGTGGCTTTGCACCGACTCCTTTGACTTTGTCTAAAACACGTTTTAAAAATGATAGATGTTTTGCTGCTGTTGTACGTGCAAATCACTAATTGAAAATTAATTTTATAGCCTTTAAATGTAGTGCGTACCGCAAAGGAAGATCCGCGGCATCTTATTTACAAAATGAAAACGTGACGAAATTGTATTAAGGCACACAGTTAACGTTAGACCATTATAAAGGGATCTATAAAAAAACTGACTGTCATGAAAATTTCTACACTATTTTTTAAATCGCCAATGGAATACCATGTCCAAAAGTCGTTCACAGAATTATGCATCCAGTGGCGGATTAAGGAAGGCTCCTGATCCCCCTTTGATTTCTGAAAAAATTAACATCGATGGTCCCCTCTTGACATTAGAATTTTGACTAGCCGAATCATAGTTCTTGACCGTCCAAATAGCACCGTTCGCCCTATAAAATGCCAAAATTTTCGAGGCCCTTCAGCGAGTACCGAGCCCCACGCCAAGGGGGGTGGGGTGGCTTTGGATCCACGGACTCCCTTTCAAATAAACTTTGATCAACCCCTGGAATCATTAACCGTCACACGAGTTCTAAGTTTCTGGTGTTTAGTCACCCTCGAAATGCAAGTAGTGACTAGAGATTACACTCATCACGGTATTAAATAAGGCATCAAGAACGGGTTTGTAGAGGCTTTTATTTTGCTGAATAAATGTTTGACGCCCTTTCATGTCTTATTCTTGTATTAGATGAATAGTATTTCAGATTACAACTAATATAGGCATGTTGATGTATGTCCTCCTTTAAGTGAAAGATTTAGCGTTTGTAAATGGCGGGCCGTTTAACTTGTTTATCAGTGAGGAGGAAATATCGCTATTTATGGCAACAAGGAAATACTTAAGGAAAATGCTATTGTATATCCATAAGTTTTGCATAATTTTGTTTACTGCCTGAAGGAAGTACCTGGCAAAAATCTACTCTAATAAATACAAATGGGACTCGTATCCACCTGGGCAAGGTTGCACCAACACGTCGTAAATTTGTTCCGCTATGTCTGTCATTTACCGCAAACCCTGGCGTCCGTGTGCCATGGAAGGGTAACTCCTCTCCCTGTTTACGCACGTTGCACCAAGAAAAAATATGACCGTCTAAACTACGCACTAGTAACGCTTCGTTGGATCACTGCCCAACAATCCGCGGAAAGTTGCTCTATCGGCATCAAGTATGAACCTAACAAGCCGAACTGTTATTAATTATTTTGGAAAAAGTGGAAATTTTTATCATATCATATTTGTTATTGAGAAATTCATCTCACGGAGACAAAAGTTTAGCCTACGTATTTTGGGAATGTCCAAACGCATTAAACACTTGGGCGTGCGCTATAAATAATGTTAGAGATAATATGAATCTGAATATTGAAAGAAATCCAATTACTTTATATTTTGTCTGGTTTCTGTGTCTACGTATTTTGCAAAACTACAGTACATGCATAGGCCTATTGCCTATATATCTTTCCAATCCAGAGCTTTATAACGTTAAAACGTAGTGTCCATATTTTCTTCCTACAATAAGACAGGACAGTCTAGATGTCTGCCCAATCATTTAAAACTAATTTATATTTTCTATTAGAAATAATGTAAAACATCATATCAATCCATGTGCGGGGACGGGTCGAGCATTCAGGTAGCATATTTTTTAAAGAAAAAAATCAATTTTTCGCAAAATAAGGTCCCTTTTAATTCTCAATAACTACTGAAATTTCAAAAAATATTTTTTAGCAGTGACAAAAAGAAGAAAATTACTATAACAATTCCAGGTGGCAGGTCTGATACAGGCGTGTCACGTTCCATCTCTTATCGCTTTGATAGTATCGGTTGCCATTGCTCTCCCACGATACTACCGGAAGTAATGTTGTACGCGAGGTGATGTTTCTCTTTTTAACACTAATAACAGGGTCAAAAATTGGACAGCGGTAGCGATTGTCCAACTTACTGCAATGTTTTCGACAAGTAGGAGTGTTGGTTTCTGTAAGTAACGATTAAAGTGCATGGGATGATCATACACTAATCAGCAACGTAGCTAGAAATGAACACGGTTTAAATTTGGGTTTCCCAAGCAGAGTTTTGTTCATTTGAAGTAGGCAAACTGATAGATTTTTAGACCACAGGTGCATGTAATATAAATAACACGTATTGATGCTATGCTTCTTGCAAGGCCTATGCAGTAAAATTTTACCTTCTGACATTTGAATGGGGGGTGGTGGTGGGGGTGGGGTAACAAATAAAATTTACGTCTGCAAATAAACAAAATTAAATAAAATGTATATTCCCCAAATTTCCCCAGAAATCTTACAAGCTGCTTAAAAAGGTAATAAGCTCTTGATGGGGTAGCGCTAGTAATTTTTTTAGCATAGCCAAATCACCACTTTTTTGTCAATTTGTCATCAAAATGGTTATGATTTGACTAAAACGTCAAATCAAGCCCTTATTCTTTAGCCAATTTAAGTAAGTTTAAGCATTTGGCTAAATTGGCCAGTGTTAGCGCCACCTCAGCCTTGTTCTTATACATCACATACAGGTCATCTTGCCACCCCTTGCTGACATTAAACAAACGCAATTTTAAATTTTGTTTATAATATGTCCAGTTTTCAACCTTTCCTAGCAGATCATGAAAACTGTAAATCCCTGCCATTGATTGTATACTGTTTCATTCCAGACCACCTCCCAGTAAGTAAAGTATTTGTGAGCTCTGTGATAGTGACCTCCCTGGCCGTGTCTCTGCCACTGCACCACGTCAGACACCTGTTTGTATACACATATCAGGATATATTTGACAAACTAGAGGTAAAAGCCATTGGATAATGATAATAATTATCTTTATTAAAGTTCATTTAATTTGTGTTCTTTTTCTGGTCAGATTTGTTTAGCAGGCATGTTGACATATGATAAATCTTTCTTTGACATTAGCAAATGGTTCTCGTAAGTGGTTTCATGATTCTCTTACTGGTAAGTCATGTAATCAGTAGCATCATTAAAATGTGCATAATTTTAATTGTTTGTAGTTTCACAAGGCTAAATATTTCAACACTTTATGTTCTCCTATATTCACTTTAGCTGTGGAGGTTGATCACATCTAAGTTGGTATTTCTGGACCCCAAGGACCTCGTCTGTGGTGCCATACTCATCTTTTACTGGAGGATTTTTGAGAGGAAGCTTGGATCCCAGAAGTATTGTGTATGTCCTTTTATTTATTTATTTATTTATTTATTTATTTATTTATATTCTTCTTTTTCTTCTTCTTCTTTGTATTAAATACTGCGTGGAAGCAAGTGCTTTATGCATACATACACAGAATTTTCTCAAAATATGAATATTCTATCAGATTTGATAAAAATCAGATTGTTCACTATTTGATAGATTTCTACAAAAGTACCCACTTTATCCTTATATGATGTTAGTCAGTGGATTGAACCATACAACAGAAGTTATGGTGATATTGTTATGCCTATATTTCAGTCATACTTACTGGCAACTGGGTTCCTAGCCTCTCTCCTGGAGCTGGCAGCGTTGTACTGCTGTAAGAAGGCAGAATTAGATTTAGACAGTTTGCCCACAGGACCGTGAGTATCATGTGACACTGTTCACGAAGCTTTTATACATACTTGTGGTTGAATTTATTATCAGATTACAGAATGTTATTAAGCCATCTATGTTTGTTGTTTTTTCCCTAATTTTACACTCGAATTTAATGGATAGATGAGAAGTAATTGTGATTTATTTTAGCTCCAGTATTATGATTTTCTAAAAAAAAAAAAACGTTAGTCACACTTGTTAACCAACTAAGCAATTTCTAGCTCCTTTGTTTTCTACAGTTGCTATTCTAACATATTAACAATGCGAATATAGAATCATTCACAACCACAGTGGAATTTTTACCAGTGTTTTTGAGGTAAATAATTCTTGTGCTTCAGGCTTTCTTTCCTGTTCCCTCTCTTTGTTCCATTCTTCTGTGACATTCCCAGAGTGGCTGTCACCAATATACTAGGCATACCTGTCACTGGGAAGACTTTCACATATATCTTAGGTTTCCAGGTGAGTGTTACGTGAAATATTTCACACATCTGTCTCTGGAGAGATTGCCAGTACATTTAAAGTATTTTAGGGACATAACTATGACTATGTATAATGAAACATATTTCAAGGTATAGAATGATAGATATTTTTACAGTAAAATTCATTTTTAATAGTAGGAATGTATTGTTGCATTTTGCCTACAAGACAGACTTGCCTGTGTTTTAGTACATTTCATTGCATTTCATGTTCTTCTTTGCTCTCTTGAAAGAGAAATGTAGCCCAATTATCGCACTGTATAAATCGACAG